AGTAATGTGAATACTTACTGATCTGGCGGTTCGTCTCTCTCCAATTTTTCAATAACTTTCTTTATTGCTTTTATACACTTGTATTCAGAAAAGGCTGCTTTTTCTGAAAGGGGTTGATGATTTTTCAAATGGACAATTATTGATTGAAATTTGTAAAGCTTAATTTTTTTTACAGATTTTGCATTTGATATTATGCAAGACATTTGATTTAGAAATTCTTATTTTATTCTCAATATTCATTTTATATGCACTTAAATTAGTAATGTGAATACTTACTGCTCTGGCGGTTCGTCTCTCTCCAGTGTTTTAATAACTCGTTTTATGGCTTTTATGCATTTATACTCAAAAAAGGCTGTATTTTCTTCAACAGTTAGATGCTTTTTTAGATGATTTATTACTGACTGAAATTTGTAGAGTCTAATGTTTTTTTTACAGAGCTTGCATTTCACATTAAGCAAGCCTCTTGATTTAAAAATTCGTATATAATTCTCAATATTCATTTTATATGCACTTAAATTAGTAATGTGAATACTTACTGATCTGGCGGTTCGTCTCTCTCCAATTTTTCAATAACTTTCTTTATTGCTTTTATACACTTGTATTCAGAAAAGGCTGCTTTTTCTGAAAGAGGTTGATGATTTTTCAAATGGACAATTATTGATTGAAATTTGTAAAGCTTAATTTTTTTTACAGATTTTGCATTTGATATTATGCAAGACATTTGATTTAGAAATTCTTATTTTATTCTCAATATTCATTTTATATGCACTTAACCCTTACTTGCCACACTTCTGTGCGTGACGTGCTTGACACACTGGGGTGGATTGCACCCCAGCACAAAAATTGTTATAACAAATAATCTATTAAATATTTTAACTTCAAAATTTTTTTATAGCTTCTCAAGAACTTACTTTTTAAAGTTATATGAGTGATATGGACAAAAAATAAAATTGAGTACTTTTAAAAATTAACGAAAAGTGGGCCTGGGGTGTGTTACACCCCAGTGTCAAACAAGGGTTAAATTAGTAATGTGAATACTTACTGCTCTGGCGGTTCGTCTCTCTCCAATTTTTCAATAACTTTCTTTATTGCTTTTACACATTTGTATTCAGAAAAGGCTGCTTTTTCTGAAAGGGGTTGATGATTTTTCAAATGGACAATTATTGATTGAAATTGTAAAGCTTAATTTTTTTTACAGATTTTGCATTTGATATTATGCAAGACATTTGATTTAGAAATTCTTATTTTATTCTCAATATTCATTTTA